TGGACTCCAGTTCCCACCAAGCACCGTTGTTTTTCTTTGATACAGAACCATTGCTTCCTCCAGAAAGAAAGAATTCAAAATCAGAGTCGTCATTCAGAACTTCTGAACAAAATAAATCTCTCTCTGTTTCTGAATCAAAACTCCATTCCAATCTTTTCAAAATATCACGGTCCTTCCACTGCCCCAAAACTGATACAGCCTCTTTCTTAGCCTTCCCTATCATGATCTCCTGCCATGAAAATGCAGCATCAGCAGTCCTTTTGAGAGCCCTGTCATTGTTATCACCCACAATCACTGTCTTCAAACACCTAAATCTTGCTTCCTTCAGAATCTCCACAAAATCTGAATCATCAGACACAAGAACAATACACTCAACCATTCTTTTGTCCATAACATCCACCATATGATTTCTCAATGCAGAGTCAGCCGCCCGTGGCTTGTCTGAAACCTTCCCAACCCAAAACCCTGCCCGTTTCAATTCACCCATCAACCCAAGCCCCACTTTCGGAGTCAAAATATCCCTAGCAGCATTTCTATACTTCTCCATCTTCATGGCATTCTTTGCCACCAAGTTCACTCTCCTCTTCCCTCGTGCAGACTCGATCTGATTTAACCTTTTCATCTGCTCACGTTCATGAATTTGCTTGAAATGATTAATAAAATTCTCGTTATTGTAAAATCTTCTCCCACAAACTCGACATATATATGGTTCATCTGGCTTAACACCACCCATATTTTCCAGCTCATTCAGTGCTTTCCTCTCCCCCCTCTGCGCCCTAACTGAAGGGGGAAATATCGAAAAGCATGATGATTGGCATAAAGCTATCATATATTGGACAGACCCAAATTCTTCTGTGGCCTTCTTTAACCTAGTGGCAGCATCATATGGAGAAAATGATTTTGGTGGCTTGTTATCCAAATCCCAAAAGATACCCACATTGTTTCGAGGAACCCTCTTTACCAAACTTGAAGGAGAGACTGAAGATTCACGATTCCAGTCTGATGCTGAACTAAAATGGTGAAATCCACACACTGCAAAAGTTGTTTGAATCTTTTTAATGAACTGGATTTTGTTAAAAGCAGTATGCGATTTGACCGTATTCAGCATCTCCAGATGTTATGAGGATACACTGGCAAACTCAATTAGAGGCCAAAAATTTTGCAAAAAGAGCAGAGCATATAATAGAAAATAGAACAGCTAACGGCATGCCAACTGGAGCTCATGAATTAATTCACAAATGAGACGAAACAGTCTTCTGCAAGTTTTGGACTCACCTACAACAAACTAAAGCACTTTATCAGATTCCTTATCATACAGATTTTGGTGTTCCAACAGAAGTTCATCTTAGTGTAATGTTAATACAAAAAGTAAAATGTCTAAAAACGAAAGATCATCCATATTCAGATATTTACATATAAAATTCAACACCCTGAATAGTCTTGTGATCATTCAACAAGATTGAATAATGTAAAAAAAAAAAAAGTTACCAACATAAATCCTCTTTCACAAC